CCCTCCCTCTCTCTCTTCTCTCTCTCTCTCTCTCTCTCTCTCTCTCTCTCTCTCTCTCTCTCTCTCTCTCTCTCCATCTCATGTAACTGGAAGACAATGCTGTTCCAAAGCTTCTTGGAATTCATGAAGTTTGTCTTTAGCTGAAGACGAAAAGGGAAAAAGCAAGGGCTGCTACCTTTCTGCTTACAGGCAGTAAGTCTAAGTTCTGGGCTGCAATTATTTCCTAAGCACACAGCTGAAGGCGAAGCAAAGTGCTAGGCATGCAGTTCTCAGGGCAACAGGCTCCTCTGTGTCCCCTCGTCCATGCAAACCACAGGGAAGTCTTTCTTACCTATTGCCCTTCAATATGTAGCCTATTGTGTTTACCCTTCGGTTAATTCCACGAGTTCAGAAATTGCTCAGTAAGCCGAGTAGAAGCAGGTTGAACTCATTAATTCATGAGACTGTGAGACATTAAAAAAAAAAACAAAAAACTCACCATTTCTGATGGTTTCTGTATGTCTGCTGTCTTCTGTAGAAAATACAAAATGATCACGTTTAATAACATCGCCCACATTTTGTGCTCGGAGAACATAATTTAGGAAATTGTTTTCAGTAACCTTTTTTCCCCTCGAACTTTGAATGTAGGATGTGTGTTCTGGACCTGGCTGGCTTCTAGACTCTATTCTTCTCCTTCAGTGTCGTGTCCTCATTCTTCACATGCAACCTCTGCAGAACGGAGGCATAACAAGCCCACCCTCTTTAACCTTCTTTGTCAACGTTGTCTTGATCAAGTCCTATGTCTTCACTCTTCTAAATAATCTTTAGTATTAGCTTGCCAACATAAAAAGAGAGTTTTGCTCGGTCGGTGTGGCTCAGTGGTTGAGCGTTGACCTATGAAACAGGAGGTCACAATTCAATTCCCGGTCAGGGAACCTGCGGGGTTGCAGGCTCGATCCCCAGTGGGGGGGCGCATAGGAGGCAGCCCACCAATGAGTCTCTCTCATCATTGATGTTTCTGTCTCTCCCTATACCTTCTTCTCCAAAATCAATAAAATTTAAAAAGTAAAAAGGAAAGAAGAATCTTACTGGGATTTCAAAAGTGGAATGGCAATTTATACCCTAATGCCGTGGTCGGCAAACTGCGGCTCACGAGCCACATGCGGATCTTTGGCCCCTTGAGTGTGGCTCTTCCTAAGCCTTAGGAGTACCCTAGTGAAGTTAATAACAATGTAATCTACCTATATAGTTTAAGTTTAAAAAATTTGGCTCTCAAAGAAATTTCAATCGTTGTACTGTTGACATTTGGCTCTGTTGACTAAAGAGTTTGCCGAGCACTGCTGTATTACTTAGCAATCACATGGCATTTTCTATGTGCAAAACACACTTAAATATTAGCACATGTAATCAAGATAATAATCTCACGTGGTAGGCACTATTATAATCACCCCCACTTTACAGATAAGAAAAATGAGGCCTGGAGAGTTGAAATTACTTGCCTGAATTCACAAAACCAGTGAGTAACTGGTTAGAACCCAGTCTGAGAGATCAAGTAAATGCTATGCTGCCTCACTTTTACAATTCCCCTTGCCTTTTGCTTATGTTTTGTAGTAATATTCTCCAGTGCCGGAAGCCATATAGATTTCATGTGATGGGCTTTGCATTGGGCTAAAACATTTGGCTGGGATTGAGGGTAACTGTTAGTGTGGGACCTGGTGCAGCCCTCAACACTGTGGGTGCAAATGAAGAAATACCTGATCTGCAACGAGAGAAGAATGAATTGGCCCAGCAGCCTATTTAACCAGATAAAGAGACTGGTTAGATTTATTCCTAGGTGGTTTTTAAAATGTATTTTTTATTATTATTATTATTATTATTATGGGTGTTTTTAATTTTTTTGTGTTTAGTGCTTTTTTAGCCTCTCCCCTCCCCCTCCCAATTTTCTGCTAATTTCCTATTTCCTCTCTCCTTTGGGAATTCTGGTTACACATACACCGAATATTGTCCCCCAGGTCATTGGGGCTCTGTCCATTTTGCTTCAGTGGGTCAAGCCTGCAACCTGGGCATGTGCCCTGAATGGGAATCAAATCATGAGTTTCTGCTTCATAGGCTGAAGCTCAACCACTGAGCCACACCAGCTGGGCCCTAGGTTTTTTGTTTGTTTGTTTTTTAAGCAATTGTGAATGGGATTGTTTTCTTAGTTTCCCTTTATACTAGTTCATTGGTATATACAAATGCAACTGATTTCTGGATATTTATTTTGTATCCTGATACTTTACTGAATTCATTGATCAGTTCTAGTAGTTTTTTGGTGGAATCTTTAGGGTTCTCTATATACAGTATCATATTATCATGCAAATAATGGCAATTTTACTTCTTCCTTTCCAGTTTGGATGTCTTTTATTTCTTCTTCTGGTCTAATTGCTGTAGCTAAATTTTCAGAACTATGTTGAGTAAGAGTGGTGCAAGCAGACATCCCTGTATTGCTACCCATCTTAAGGGGAAAGCTTGTAGTTTTTGCCCACTGAGTATGATGTTGGGAGTGGGTTTGTCATATATGGCCTTATTACGTTGAAGTATGCTCCTTCTATTGGAAGCAGCCCGTTGATACAATGGAATACTACTGGGCCGTAAAAAAGAAATTGTACCCTTTGTGACAGCATGGATAGACCTGGAGAACATTGTGCTAAGTGAAATAAGCTAGTCAGAGAAAAACAAGTAACATATGATTTCACTAATATGTGGAATCTGATGAGCAAAATGAACAAATAAAAGAGAAAAAGACTTATAGATACAAAGAACAGACTGACAGCTGTCAGAGGGGAAGGGGGTTGGGGGACTGGGTACAAAAGGTGAAGGGATTAAGCAACCCTCGCTCCAAACTCATAGATACAGACAACAGTGTGATGATTACCGGGGTGGGGGTGGGGGGTGAGGGGGGGAGAAGGCAGGGGGAGAAGAGGGGATGGGAAAATAAATGGTGATGGAAGGAGACTTGACTTGGGGTGGTGAACACATAATACAATATATAGATGATGTATTATAGAATTGTACACTTGAAACTATAAAAATTCATTAACCAATGCCACCCCTGAGATGTGCAACTGCAAATAAAAATGAGTATCATACAAAGGATCTGTCCAGGCTCCCCCCTCCAAAAGAAGCACAAATAGGACCAAGTAGAATCTGTTTACTATGTTTTTAAGAAACAAAGAGAAGCCGAAACCGGTTTGGCTCAGGGACTGGGTACAAAAGGTGAAGGGATTAAGCAACCCTCGCTCCAAACTCATAGATACAGACAACAGTGTGATGATTACCGGTGGGAGGGGAGGTGGAGGAGGATATAGGGGAGATAAATGGCGATGGACAGAGACGTGACTTGGGGTGGTGAACACACAATACAATGTATGGATGATGTGTTGTGGAATTGTGCTCTATCTCTCTCCCTTCCTCTCTGTAAAAAATCAATAAAATATATTTTAAAAAAAAAAAGAAACAAAGAGAAATTTTTGGAAAGTATCTGCCAAAATCCAGGAGGTGCAGATGGATCTGAGGAAGGGTGAAAACCAAGAACAGAAAGTTCAATTAAAAAAAAAAGAGAGTTCAGTGCCCCTGACAAAATAGTCAGGCATTGCATGCTTTAAAAAATCACTACTTTAAAGGACACCTCCATGAACAGGAAACCCAAAACAAACCAAAACAGAAAAACCCAAGTCATCTGAAGGAATATTTGCTGGTATGTATTTTCTTTTTATATGTCGACATGAGCTGCTGGCTCCAATTAATTTTTCTTAATATAAGGATACTCCCATGCAGTCATTATTATTAATTGTTAGTTAACGCTTAAAAATTCAATGTGGCTAACTTATTTTCCATAATACCTATGACAATATACACAAAACATAGAAAATAAAGTAAAATAAATGTCTCCAAATGTAGCCTCGGTTTTTCTATAAGTAAAATGTGGCCCCTCCACCCCTTCCAATAAGGCATGATCACTGTAAACAGTGCCCTGCAGAAGACAAGAAAAATAGGTTTCTTAAACAACATATAAATTATTTTTTTTCCTCTTAAAAAATACTCGGTAAAATTATATTCTCAGTTTTGCAGTAAACTAAGCAATGGATCACATCTGTTACTTAAGTTAAAATAAACAGGCAATGAGAGAGAGAGAGAGAGAGAGAGAGAGAGAGAGAGAGAGAGAGAGAGAGAGTCTCTGCTCATTTCCCAGGGCCTTTTCTGTTCTTGCTTTTCATCCTTCCTCAGATCCATCTGCACCTCCTGGATTTTGGCAGATACTTTCCAAAAATTTCTCTTTGTTTCTTAAAAACATAGTAAACAGATTCTACTTGGTCCTATTTGTGCTTCTTTTGGAGGGGGGAGCCTGGACAGATCCTTTGTATGATACTCATTTTTATTTGCAGTTGCACGTCTCAGATATATGTTTGGCCTGCCTCCATTATGTGTTAG